CAATTGGTTTTACCTGCGTGTGTGTGTGTGTGTGTAAGTGTATGTGTGTACATGTATGTGTCTTTACATGTGTGTGTGTGTGCATGTATGTGTGTGTTTGCATGTGTGTGTGTGAGTGTATGTGTTTGCATGTGTGTGTGAGTGTATGTGTGTTTACATGTGTGTGTGCATGTATGTGTGTGCATGTATGTGTTTTTGTATGTGTGTTTACATGTGTGTGTTTGCATGTATGTGTGTGAGTGCATGTGTGTGTGAATGTATGTGTGCGTGCGTATGTGTATGTGCATGCATGCATGTGTGTGTGTGAGTTGAGTATTACGTGTGTGTGAGTGTGTGGGTTTATTTTACACTGTCATCAGAGTAGCCATTGAAATAATTTGTTTTACCTGTGCTTGTGTGTGTTTGTATGTGTGTGTGTGTTTGGATTTATATAACATGTGCTTGTATGTGTGTGTTTGGATTTATATAACATGTGCGTGTGTGCGTGTAAATATGTGTGCATGCCAGAGTGAATTAATTCATCAATTACAGACTTATAGACTGGTACAGCCAATACAATGCACCAAGCATATGATAAACAGTGAGCGCATGCACAGGCAAAAACAGAGTGTATAAACTTTTATTCAATTTTTCCTTTTAATTTTTTTTTTATTCAATTTATCTTATTTGTTTATTTATTGTTATTTTATTAATCGTATTTATTTTATTAATTTATTTATTTATTATTTATTTTAATTATTTACATAAAAAATACTTTTATCCTCAATACGGAAGGAAATCGACTTTAATAAAAGTTTAAAAAAAAAAGTCCAAATCCAACCGACCCAGAGTTCCAATTTGCCTCTTAGTGCCAGTATCATTATCAACATCACCGCCATCAGATGATGATGATGAAGATGGTGGTAGGGATGGTACTGATGATGATGGGGATGGTATTGATGATGATAGGGATGGTACTGATGATGACGGGGATGGTATAGATGATGATTGGATAGTCTTCGCGTAGTAAACTACTTCCACCTTTCCTTCGATTTCTGAAGATGACAACAAGTTATGGGTAAAAGAATAGCGGTGAGTAAGATGTTAACATTGAGTTAAGATGATAACAAAGATGATTCTCTTCATCATCCTCATCTTCATCATCATCGTCGTCATCACCCTCATGGTTTCCATCATCATCCTCATCTTCTTCACCATCTTCTTTATCACCATCATCATCTTCTTTATCATCATCATCATCATCAACAACAATAGACCACCCCATTACCAAAATTCACCCACCAACCTCCTCTCCATCCAATGTTAGTAACATAAGTCGGCTTGAGAAAGTTAACCACGATTATATGCCTTGCTACATCACCTGCAAATCTATGGCAAGTCGAATCATCCCCATCGAGAATGACGCTAGAAATACTTGCATTATCTACTTTGTCTATGGTTAGGTAGATTGATTTCTTGGGGAAAATGATCTTGCCAGAACCTGATTAGATGGGAAACAGTAATATATGGTGTTATATGTTAGGTGAAACTTTAGTTTAGTGTGTTTAGTTTAATTTTATTTTTCACAATAATGTATGATGTTACATAATGTTATATATTAGGTGAAACTTTAGTTTAGTGTGTTTAATTTAGTTTCATTTTATTTAAGCCCTACAAGTGTGCCTTGTTTATAAGGTAGATTTTTTCTGGTCATTATTCATTTTTACTGTATACGTTCTTAACTTTTTTAAACTAAAATTTAATTAACATTCTTGCAGAATGTTATCAACATTTTTTATTAACAGTTTGCTTGATTTGGATAAGGAAATTATTTGACATGACATGATTGAAATGACATAGAAATGCCATTTAAATTTTATATATAAATTTTTTAAATTTATTTAAAATTATTATTCATGGTCTAAGCAGATAGGTCTGTAATTCATATTATAATTTTTATCAGATAATTTAATTTACACTAAAATCATTTGATATGCGTCCGTCTGTCTAACTGATTTGTTTTATAATTTCATCATCTTTGGTGACTTGACTGATTTTCAATTATTTTTAAATTAAATTCACATCATAATTTTGACATTTATTAACTTAAAAAGTCTTAAAGGTTGAAGATTACGAAAAAAACGACTACAGATTACGATTTCGCAACTACAAATGATAATTTAAATCGAAACAATAAACTATAAATGATTTTTTATAGCAGAAAACAGCCATTTAAATTTAAAACCTTCTGTTGTTCCGGCTATTAAAATAATAAAGGCAAAGGGGAAATAAATACAAAGCAACGAAATCGCCTTCATAACAATCATTTCAAACTTTTAATAGAATTCATAATATAAAATAAAAACTAAATTTTTGATAAAAATTTTTATAAAACGATTTAAAATCGTAAAATTCGTGAAAAATTATGTCCGAAACATTATTATTTTAATATTTGGAGAAATTTTTCATTAGCACTCGAAGACACTGCATCGTTTTAAGACTACGGAACAATTTTTTAATTTCTTTTCCAGTGTATTACAACAGCAATAGTTAACTAAATGTTATTAATTATCTACAATTTAATTGATTTTTTATTAAAAATGTGAAACAATTTTAAATACTTTTAAAACATTTTGATATAATTAACTTGAATTAAGATCAACATTATAACAAAAAACATTAGAAATTTAATTTATTAAAACCTCTTATTTATATAGTATTAAATATACTCTGCTTCAAATTATAAAAAAACAAAATATTAATCAACTGATTGATTATTTCATCCATTAACTGATCAACCAGTTGACTGACAGAACTTTTGTCCAACTGATTGAAAAGTTGGTTGGTGAGTTGAATGATCAACTGATTGATAGCCTGTTTGAATATTCGGTTTAAAAATCGATTCTTCGGTACATTTATTAACTCGTTAATCGGTCGATTAATGAGAAGATTAACTAGTTGAATGATGACCTGATCAATTAATTGCTTTTTTAATTCTCCAATTAATTTGTTTATTAGCTGATTGATTAAATGTTGTCCTAACAGATGCCAAATTATCTGATTGATTAAACCGATGAACAGCTGGTTAAACGGTTGATTTGCGAATTGAATCATTAACCGGTTAATTACTCGGTTAAATAACTGATTCAAAAATCGAGTGAATATCTGATAGATGATTTGAAAGATCAGATAAACTTTCATTCGCTCTATCAGCCGATTAATTATTAACCGTTTTAAAATTCGCTGGACTATTCGGTCAAATATTTGATTGAAGATTTGAGTCAGTAGCAGATTGTTGATTAGTAAAACCATTTGATTAGTTAACTGGTCCGACAGGTAGCCAATATACGGATCATCTAGCCAGAAACTTGCCTGAAGGAACAAAAAATTATTCAATTTCATCAGTAATACATAGATTAATTTGTGAATTAGCTGGTTAACTGGTTGATTGAAAAATTGTACGATTGACATCACTGATTGATTTGTTTTTAAATTCTCTTTCTCCTTTTCTTTCTCTCTCTCTTTTTTCTTCTTCTATCAAAACCCAATCGTATCATTAATGAGAATTATTGAAAGATTGAATTAGGAGCTATAATACTTTGTAATAAACATAACAAGTGTTAATAATTACAATAATTTGAAAAACAACACCCCTTCCAAATCAAGACTGGCTTTAACCATGCTAAATAATACTTATATTTATGCTATCTAAATGGATCGTAACATCATTAACGAATAAAGAGTGTTAATTAAAAAAATTAATTTTCTAATGGTTTCTAATATCTTGGTTACATAATGGATCGTAACATCATTAACAATATCGTAAAATTTACGGAAATGAATATCCTAACAAAAAGCCATGAAATAATTTAAATTAATTAAATAATTTATTTCAATATTTAAATTAATTAAATAATTTATTTCAATAGTAGGTGAAAAAAGTTATTATGCTACAGTCACGACAAATTTCTGGCCAAACGACTAAATAACATGAATAATAAATAAATGTTGTGAATAATGCTACCAATGCTATAATAAACTCATCAAAACACTCGCAAATTATTTCGTTGTCAGCACTCCTAGCATTGAAACAGTACAAAACTCGACAACACTTAATTGTTCAGACGCAGCGCAAAATTCACGGTACCTTATACTAAGTAACAAAAATAATCTAACCTTAATCTTGGTCCCTAGTCACATTGCAATTGAAGGTAACAAAAGAGGAGATCTATTAGCCATATTACGACTTAAGAGTGAAGATAAACGACTTCATATATGGAAAATAGCAACAAGGATTTTCTACCTACTTCTCTGACTACTTCTCCATCACTTGCGAAGTTCAGAGCGGATCTCAAGACCCATCTGTTTTCAAAATTCATTGAGGAGCGCTGATTGATTGAAGGATGGTACAAGATAACTTACTTTCTCAACGTAGTCATGCCCGTATTAAGTAAATCAAAAAATGGCAAATTCAATGAGCTAAGTCGAAAAATGTTAAACAAACAGGACCTGCGCTTTGTGAGAAATGCAATGCAAAACTAGCAATCCAACACATATTAATAGATTGGCAAACATATAACGGGAAAATACCAAATTCCAGAATATATAAACTCAATTTTAAAATAAAAACCTAGTAAGCCTAGAATCATTCACAACAATGACTAAAAGCGTAAAGATAGCATTATCACTGCTTAAACGCCGAAAACTGCAGAAGGAAAAAATTCCACAAAGTCTTTTACTTTACAACCAGTAAGTAATTTTACTTAACTGGAGGTATATAATTATGGTAATTTATTATTATTATAACTTTTTAATGCAGTTTATAACGAGATCATTATTTTATTATAATTATACAATCATGGTTTTACGATTGTTATGGGATCATAAAGTTAGAGTAACTTATATAAAAAGGGTTGACAATCAAATTGTTTCGACTAGTCCTGTTATTATCACTGCATTTTGAAACTGTTTCTCACATATTGTATTAGAAATAACTGTATAGTATCTGTTGAGCTATAATTATGGCTAAAAGATACCCAGACGATTACAATGACGAGTTTACCGATGATTATGTGACATCCTATTATCATGATCTCGAGAATGATGACGATGGTTTTTCTAGATCATTCAATTGCTACTTTAGAGATCTCAGAGAAAAAATTGATGATGGAGATGAAGACAGCAGTCTTTATGAATCCATTCATGTGGAAAGTCAGACGAGAAGAAAGTCTGAAATGTTACATCGATCGAGAGGTAAGGAAATCAGGCGATCAAGTTCCCAAATCTTCCAGCCGCATCAACAACAGCAGCATCAATATGTATGGCCGCAACAACTGTTTGTTTCCCCAAAAAATAAATTGTCTAAACCAGTCAGAAGGAGGAAAAGTGAGAAAATAAAAGAATTTTTCACCAGGAATGTCTTTAAAAGATTTTCTAGTGCGGTCGAAAACAACATCTCAGATGAGCCCGCTAATAAGAAGAAAAGGCAGCTCTATACAGTATCAACTCCACCTCCACTTCGTCACCATCCTCTCAATCAACTGAAATTGCAACAACAGTCGCAAGAGCAACGACAACATCCTCTGAGACATCCTCGAAACTTTATGGGCCGCCAGCAGAGGCAGCTTCGTCAACGACAGCAGCAAATGTCGTTGCAACACGAACAACAACAAAGGCGACGACAAAGTAATTTAATTACTCGCTACAAGTTGCAACAACAAAGGATGGAGGAGAAAATGCGGCGGTACAAAAAGGTAGAGGACTGGATTAGGAGTTCCCAATCATTCCAACTAACGCAAAGGGAATGGTTTTGCAAGCATCTCATGGAAAGGAACTTAAGTAATACCAGCGGACGCCTGGTTGACAAACAAGAGCAGACTGAACATGGCTGGATAGATTTGGTGTACTTCAAAGAAAATGAAAACTTGAATATATTAGGTAATCTAAATGTTAATCACAACCTCTTTATCGTCAATCGTGCTTTACTCATTCTCATCTGGTTATCATTTCTATTTAATCACAAATGTTTTAACCAAAACAGTCCGCAGAGGGGCCAACTTGAATCCAAAGCTGACGGAATTCTGCAACAGCTTTTTGGAAGTTTTCTACCTAGACAATTCTACAACGGCCATTATGACGCACAGAAGCGCAACTGCAAAACACACATTCCATCCACGATATGATTTCCCTGTCGTCATTGAGAATATCAACCACGAAGGAAGAATTATCATTAGAGTCTGGAACGTTGTACTGTATGAAAGGTTAGGATTTCCATTCATTTATTTATACTCCACTAGGGAGTATAATTTAGGTTATACAGTTTTTCTACATATTTCGGCTTGACGTTGTTGTGTAAATACATACATACATACATACATACATACATACATACATACATACATACATACATACATACATACATACATACATACATACATACATACATACATACATACATACATACATACATACATACATACATACATACATACATACATACATACATACATACATACATACATACATACATACATACATACATACATACATACATACACACACATTCCAACCAAGCACATAATGTGTCGCAAACATACAAAATAAAAAACAATTTTACTTTGCAATTCCTTCTTCAGAATTCACGAACTTCTCGGGGTAGCTTCTTTGAACGTTCCGAAGGATAATGAACTGAGAAGCATACAATGCCACCTCCAACGACCTTCCATAAATTTAAACTACCATAGAAACAACAATAATGGCGTCCAAGATGGCGCCCAAGATGGCGTCGTCCACAACAACAATTCGGAAAATGATTATGATGGGTACGACGATTACATCAACGAAAGTGGCCATTCATCATTAGAAGATGACGATGATGACGATGTTGATTATGATGAGTTCAACGATTTTTGTAACGATAGCGATTGTGACGTAAGTGACGGTGAAGGTGACGTCACCAACGGATTGGATATTTCTGTTTTGAATGACGAGTACGAGGATTTCTGCAGGTTTCGCTTACAGGGTCATGTGAACACCACCACCACCAACAACAACAGCAGCAACAACATCATCAACAACAACATTAACAACAACATCAACAACAACATCAGCAACAAACAAAGCCTAACGTGGCTAAACAACAACAACAATCATTACGACATACTGAGTGTCATACTCGATGACGAGGACGACGACAATGATGGAAAAGGCGGGAAAATAGTTGATTGTGGGACAACGACTGATGATGGCGGGTATCTTAACCCCATCGACTGTATAATTGTAAAAGCCAGCAACAGTCATTTTGGCGGGAAAGTTACAGACATTTCTGGCGGGAAACCTGACGCCGTAATATATGACGACGATGGATATGCTGTCCCAGCTGACTGTTGTGATGGTGATGATGATGTGAAAGTCAGAGATGGTGATGATGATGAAAACAACAACAACAATAATAATGATAATATTAATTGTGTCTACGATCTAATCCATGATTATGTAGATGTAAACGATTGCATTAATGCTAATGAGGAAGGTGCTGATAATGATGTCCAGCGTGATGGTGATGATAATGATGTCCGACATGGCGATGATGATGATGGTAATAATGATGTAGTTGCTAATGATGTGGATAATGGTGGTGCTGATGACGATATCGTTGCTAGCGGCGGTGCTGATAACGATGTAAGAAATAGCGGTGATGATAGTGGTACGGCAAATGGCGGAAGTGGTAAAAAGGAGAATGACCGGAAATCCGGAAAGTTGAAAAAATACTGGACGTCACTTGGGAGGAGATTTTTTAAGAATTAACATCCTTGAATGAATGGTCAAATGAATGAATGAATGAGTGAGTGAATGAACGAATGAATGATTGAAAATACACATGAATGCTAACGAACAATAAAATGAACGATAAGTTGAAATGTAGTTCTTGTTGATATTGTTGTTACAGTTTTCACTTTTGTAAATATCAGTTTTGGCACCCTTGTTATTATTTAAACTTATATTGTTGTGTTTCTTGCTCGGTTTAATTAAAATAAAATTAAAAATAAAATGTGTTTTTGTGTGTTTTAATAAGATATCTCAAATTCGTTAACAAACAAACAGACAATTGAGAAATTAAATAACCAAACAATTAAAATATTCAGTCAATCAAGTGAAAAATAAATTAAGTTAAATTGAATAGGTAACAAATTGGATTGTCTTCGTTCGTCATTAGGTATAAGGCTATTACCAATACTAACAAAATATACCTGTTAATAATTTAATTATATATATTATATTTTTTTTGGGTTTAGACTGTCATAAATACAATTGGGTTTAGACAATAATAAATATAATTATTCATAAAGATCACTGAGTTTTCGGCATTATTCAACTTGTAGTTAGTTAAGTTTCTCAACTTTTCTAACGATACTTTTCTAACGAAAAAATTGAGAAACTCAACTACAACTATATAGTTTATATATATATTCTAGAAGTAATATTACAAAATCTTCATAATGAATTTAAAACCTCAGTATATACTAAAGAAACAAACAAAGGTTTATGTCATAATTGAAATAATGAATGTTGTCAAACATGTCTGGCGAGCACTCTTCTGATATAGAAAACAAAAGGACAGGACAATCATAAATCAATTTATTTATAACGCACTCCTTCCAAGATGTTGCTAACTGAACACTCTTCAATGTTTAAATAAATATGTATTTTTTTTTATAACGTTGTATAATAAAATGAATCACAGATTACAAAAACCAATTAATTAATATCAAATATTAATAAATTAATTAAGCAAAATTAATCAGATAATCAAATATAATTTATCATTTACCGTTTTCAATCGTTATGCCTTTTAAAGTTTTTTGTATTCTCGTTAACACTACAGAGCACAACATGCTCTACTCTGTAATGTACAACCCACCCAAGTCAAACACCACCTCTTGTAACGGCTGAATTACTACATTTATTCCCATTCACGGCATTCAAACATGGGTAGGAACTGTGAAAATCATAGTAATAAACATTTTTGCAGAAGGCCAAATCAAACTGCTGATGCTTAAACTGAAAAAAGTTTGATTCATGAAAGCTAAATTAACAGTAAGTAAAATAAATTTGACAGAAGGCATATGTCCCCTATGTTACTTTTAGGATAAAAATTCTTTTTTCTTTCACAAGTAACAAGAAAAAATAATTTTTAAAATGCTGATATAACATTCAGAATGCAACATTCTTCAATGTTTTGTATAATATTAAAGGGCCTATTTGAATTTTCTATATTTTATTTACGTGTTTTTATTTAAAAAAAACACCTCAAACTGGAGTAAGTTATAAAAACAAAGCCTAAAAGCTTATCAGTAGTGTAAGTAGAGCTGAGGCCAGTCCATAATGTAATTAAATAGTCGAGATGTGAACATTCATGGGAACATTTTATATCTGAAAATAATCGAATTAAAAAAGGGGATTCATATTTTAACATAGGATCGAATCATCACTATGTATAATATTATTACCGAGACATCTTAGGTCTTACTATGTTTAACACCAGGAGCCCGCAGCATACAAGCACATTTTGTAAATTTTTTTGAATTTTTTAATTAGTGGGGAGAGAAATAGCTGAAAATTATTTTCAAGTTTTATTCAAATGAATTTCAAACTTTTAAAAATTAAACGCAATTTTTTTTAAGTTTTATAGTTCCAATTGATGTCATTTTAGTGTAAATTTTTTTAAACTAATAACTTATTAAAATTTTAAATTAAAATTTGTTCTTCAATGAATCAACCAAATCATCAGTTGGAAAATCTTTTCGTGAAAATTCATCTTCCGATTCGACCATCCAACTTTATTTCATCCACTTTTCATTCCCCTTCAGCTTTTTGGCCAGAAATCTCGTCTTCACTGTCTTTTTGCTTAAAATTCTGCCAAACGCTCTATTTGAAATCTCGTCTTCACTGTCTTTTTGCTTAAAATTCTGCCAAACGCTCTATTTGAAATCTCGTCTTCACTGTCTTTTTGCTTAAAATTCTGCCAAACGCTCTCTTTGAAATCTCGTCTTCACTGTCTTTTTGCTTAAAATTCTGCCAAACGCTCTCTTTGAAATCTCGTCTTCACTGTCTTTTTGCTTAAAATTCTGCCAAACGCTCTCTTTGAAATCTCGTCTTCACTGTCTTTTTGCTTAAAATTCTTGCAAAAGCTCTCTTCAAACGCCCGTCGCCCTGGTCATATTAAAAAATTATGATAAAAATTAACGGTAATGCTAAAAATTGATAAACAAAAGCAGCAAATATATAATTTTGATAATTAATAGATAAATAACAAAATGGATGGATAAATATTTTAATACCTGTGTGTATTTATAGAATTTGTTTAAAATATTGTGAAATCTATCTAGTTACTTATACCAATAAACACACCAAATCTTTGCTATGGGTAAACTTAAAAGCTGTATAAAAAAGAATTAGAATTCATTTTGATTGTGAGACGATGATACGGCTCTGAGATTATTTTCAACTGCAAACTAACAGTACAAGTGCAGACTCTTGCTCTATGGAAATTGTTTAAAATGAAACATGGAATGTGAGCCTGAAATTCATCGTGGAAACAGAGTCCCAAAGTTTTCCCGCTGAGTTGTAGAAACGTGTGAGTATATTCAAATAAGTAAGCCCTATCAACGTGCCTCCAATCAATATCAACATTATTGAAAATAAAAAATATCGTTCTTACATCGTCAGAATCATCGGAATCTTGTTCACCTGTAAAAATACAACAACATTATAAGTAATAATTGAGTTTTAAAATTTAACCTTTAAAAATTCAGCTAAATTTCAAATAAAAATATAAAGTTAAATAGGTGGCCACCCTGGGCGAAGACGTAAAGACGTTCACGACAATCACCAACACCAGGAAGACGTACAACTTCATCATTTTGACAGATTCGCTACTTTCAAAGTTTCTCGGAATCTTCTGAAGTAGTTGAACTGTTCACAATCAGACGCAGTTTGCTTCAATAGCTCGATACTAGCCTTGTGTGGTATTTATTTGCATGGATATTTTGAAAATCGCATCGTTTGTCACGATGTTGCTAGTTAATTTCTAACTTCACGCCACCTATCAAATTGCATTTTAAAAAATAAAAAAATAACAATTTTCGCGTACAATTTCAAATGAAGCTTCAATTTTTGTACATAGCAGAAAGTCGTGAAATTGCGTAGGCTGTGTAATTGAATGTGAATCGTAGTACGAAACGTAATCATAAGCGTACACTTGCAATCTCAGGCTGCTTGTGGTCGAGATTTAGGAGCAACAAGATGTGCGAGAAACAGAATTATTCGTTAACATACTTTCGTTTCAATTTTGAATATTTTTTTAATTACATTTAATTAGCTGAAAATTCAACACATCTGGCGCAGAAAGAAATATTATTTTTAACTTATTAGCAATTGAACACAGAAACGTAGGAAGACTGTTTGATTGGCACATTTGAATGCTGACATGTTCAACACTAAAGTATTAATTTGCTGTTTGTGGTCGTGGCCATTGGCGGATCTGGGAAACTGGGGTCGTTGTAAGCAATGTTGTTAATGCTGTTATCAAAATTCAGTAAATCTCAGTTTCTAGACTGAAAAACACCGTTTTTCAGTACAAAATACTCCAAAAAAGGTCGCTAGCCTAATTTTGGTCAGACCAGCAAACATTTACTGAATTTCTTGGTCCCCTGGAGAAAACTTTTTAAAAATGTAGACTTTTTCGACAATTTGGCACTGTTCCCCCGTTGTCTTAAGATAATAAGATACACGAAGGAAGAGAACGATTTCATTGTCAAAAAGGTTTGATCAAGGAAACAATAATGCATCCAGCAGACAGGAGGAATGCAAACATTTATTTCAGTTTCGTTTATTTTTCACCAATTCAAAGCTACAAATTTTCGCTCAGAATATGGATACAATTTTCAGCCGATCAGCAATTTCACACGCCAACAGGATTCGAACATTCAAATGCCGACACCTCTTTGATACTAAGGTGTTTAGGTTCACTTAATGATTCTAAATTTGTAACATCAGTCATACCTCAATCCACAATTGCTCTTAGAGGAGTATCTAGAAACTTGTTGTGTGGTGCTCAAACTTTCATTCATTCGTTCGTTCATTCATTCATTCGTTTGTTCGTTCATTTCAATCGTTTATTCGTTCCTTCATTTATTCATCCATTTATTCATTTATGTGTAAATTATGATGCTTTTATTAAACAGACATGGAAATTTGAGACTCCTTCCAATAAAATTTCGAAACAAAGCAAATGGCTCTTCCTTTCATGTCAGGCTCCTTGTGCATCGTTCCTTTATAGCGTTCTTCAATACTACACCCTTCAAAAGAATTTATTTACGATCTACTTTTTGTAGCAACAAAATTACAATGACGTCGCTAGTTTTCGTGAGGGCTCCAAATTAACTTGGAGGTTGCAAATTTATAACAATCAAACAGAGGACCTTAGCTGACAAAGTTTTGGGAGCATTATATAAGTCAGATTGTTTTAAAACAATTCCAAAGCATCACATGTTTCATCGGTTTAATGTCTTGATTACTTCGATATAAATTTTAGAATCACCTAATTTAAAAAAAAATAGCAATGGATTCAGCAGCTGATAAATATGAAGAAAAAATAACGAAAAGCATCATAAAATGCAAGAGAAGCATAAAGCGAGCAAAGGCAGCCATTGAACGAGGAAATTTCGTGGAGAAAAAATCGACCTCAGAAAGTCCTTGGTGGAGCTGAGTTGCAGCACAGGCATGTTTGAAAAAGTTTCGAGGGGAAAGACGGCAGAGGAACGTGTGCCGAAGATCCTCACCCTCAAATCCAAAAAGAAGAGGAGGATAAATCGTTATAGTCCTTTCTGAAGCGCACAAATTATGAATTTTTTTATTAGTATTATTATCTAGTTATATCATTATTTTTACAGATGTTGTAAATAAAGTCATCTAAATCAAGATTAATTTTGTTTCTTAAAATTGTTTTCAAGCCTCATTTAACTAAATCCTAACCCTAACCAAATGAAGCATAGCTTGATATATTCTAATGACAACAACGCATCAACGATGGCTTACGTACTCAGTGGCAAATGGTTTGAATAGTTTATTACCTATAGCCAACTGATTTCTAAAACTTTTCATTCTCTAAGCATGATATTTAAATGTTAACGTTGAAACAATTAAAAATAATTCAATTAAATAAAAAATTCTATTTTGAATCAGGTCTCATAAATAATTTTTATAAACTGTTCAATATCGGGTTTTTATTTGATTTCAACAAAACTATAAATCTTTGCTAATAGAATGAATACTTCTGAATTAAAAATTTTAAAGGTCAAATTGTTTTTATTTAACTTTTTATTAAACTCAATTTAATTTTTTAAAATTCAATTTAAAATGAAAATAACGACGGGTGTGAAATCTTACGGCTCTCTGCTTCAGACATGACCGAATAAAGGTTGAAACGAGAGGTTGTATCTATACAGGAAGTTTGTTGAGATAGAAAATAAACTTAATCAACAAACCAAAACCTCAAAAAATAAAAGAGGAATACAGTCGGCATAAAACGCGTTGAATGAAGTATCAGTCAGACACCTAGCGCACCAAGTTATGATTTTTTCACTGCATTTGTTATATCAAACTCAAGGTTTGAATATTTTTATTTATTGACAATTGTTTTAACGACAAATTAGATCATTAATGAACGTACAACAAAATTAAACTGTGTTGTTCTATCAAAAAAGGAGCGTTTGGTCTACTCCAAATGCTTGGAGATGATCCAAATTACTGGTGATAATTTTTATCAATTTACATGGAGATTTATTTGCAGTCATTCAGAATTTACAAACATGGCTAATTTTTACGTTACATACTTTTAAAAATCTTAATATTTTTAAGCAATCCAATAGTCTTAAACATTTTTAAAACCTTTGAAAAACATTACTGGCTTTGGCCACACCACTTAATGTCTAAATAGAAAAAAAACAAAAAGTATCATCTTTAAAAATCTTATTAGGTAGAGTTTGCACAAGAATCAGCAAGTATCATGCGATTGGCGAAAAATTTTTAAATTATCACCTTCAAATAAATCACACAAATGATCGTGTAGATTCGGTTCCCTCTCGAATCATTGTGACACTATTCCATTCAGATGCTATTCTGCAATCTAAACCTCCATATGTGCATCAATATTATAAAACTGATAGAGGGCCGCCGTCCATACTCTTCAAGGGGGGATGGGATCCAAATATTTGCGACACTTTGTGACGTGGGGAGGGGGGGGAGGTAAACGCAAGGGTGACGTCATTTTTTTAAATAAACAAAACAATAAATACATTTTCTTTCATGTATGTGCGCAATGTGAATATTAAAGTTTTCAGGCGAGCAAGTAGCTCATGAATACACGAATACTCCATGAATATTAATTAAAGGATGAGTCAAATTTAAACTCTACTGTTGAAGTTTACCGCCGTGTAGATGTAGAAATTAATATAAATTCGTTATATTTTAACTGCGGTAAAGCATTTAGATATCAAACCATCGTCAAATTCGTCATTTTGATGTCAATAAAAAATATAATGCATTACATTGTTTAATGACTCTTCACAAAGGAAGGAGGTAAAGTTTTGTGACATGCTTATTTTTGGGGGTTGGTAGATTTGTGACAGTTTTTGACACGGGGTAGGGGGGTCAAATGACGTTAACAAAGCGTGACATCCTTTATGGACAGCCCATAGTGATAATAGCGGATTTTTGTAATGATAATGTGATGACGTAGAAGATGATGATGGCGATAGAAAATATTATTCCTTTAATGACAAGAATGAAATAATTAATGAATATTTTTATTTTTGTTGTGTCATATAGATAGCGTCGAATGTATATTAATTAATTAACAATATTTCATAGGTAGGTAACAACACACACCACACACAAACAAACATATAGATATGCGACCATCACTTAATCACGTCATACCATTGTAATTGAAGATCCAATGTTAATATTCAAACCATTATAATAAGAAATTTTCTTTGGTATTAAAAATTAGCACAGTGAACTCAAATACGAAGATTTTTTAGAACATGTAAAGTAAATTGTAAATAAAACTAACTTTGTTCTTTTACAATGCTTACAAGATTTTCATTGTAAACTATTTAAAATTGATAGAAAAGCCGGAAGTTAGAATGCTAAATATTTTATAAAAAATTTACTACTTATATACACTAATAATAAGTTTAATTTTAGGCAAAGTCAGTTTTCTCATTTTTTCTTGTAACATCGCCCACAAAGTATAAAAATAATATCCATAAAACTGAAACTTTTTTAACCTTTTGCAAAGCCAGTTATCATTTTCCTACAACATCTCTCACGAAGCTGTTAAATCACTACAGCAGAGAAAGTTAAATTTCAAATAACATAAAATAAAATTTCAGAAAATTTAAAAAAAATTTTGTTTCAGAAAAATTTTAAAGAAATTTTATTCTAGAGAAATTTTAAAGAAATTTTATTTTAGAAAAATTTTAAAGAAATTTTATTTCATTTACATATTTATCACTTTGTGTGATTTGATGGTTAGCTGTCAATTTTCTTCTAACAATCGTAAATTATAACTTTGCTTTCTTTGTACTTTGCATATTTCAAGCTCGTATATATATATATATATATATATATATATATATACATGTGTAGTTAACAAATAAATCTGAAAACAGACCGGGTACTGAAATTTAATTAATTTTATAATATAAATTTGGTTTGATAAGCTGTAGATTATGGGAAAAGTTTGCATCAAGACACTCCACCCTCCCAAAAAGTACCTTGGGCCAAGGACGAAACTTAATCCGAAAGAAGGAAAATTGGTGAGGGTTGACGAGCAAGGATTCGATGAATTCTGCGATTATTTCACGAGTAAAAGTTTCATGAACCAGACGGGTGCGGTTGCACGCAGGTCCACATATAGCGGGGCTGTTAGACCATCCATTCCATCGTTTGCCATGAACAATGCGGTTCCTACTGCTAACGTGTCAATAGCGAGCGGGCCATCCATGGACCGCGATGTGGTAGCCGACTCTCTTGACCACTTATCGCCGATTCTACCCGCTTCACAATTCAGCTGTCAAACCACTTCGACGCCCTTCGTTAGGCGAAAAAGTTTGATGGGTAGAAGACTTACTGTGACATTTAAGGATGTTGATGGAGCTGCTGAAGTTTCTCAGAGTGGTAGCGGCGGCGATGATGGTAACTACACTTTTCAGCAAGCACAACTACATTTGCAAAATCTGACATCAAACAGAAGACTTGCAACAGAAGCAGAAAATGATGAAAAAGAGGATGTTGTAAATCACGATGATGGCGAAAATGGTGATGACGTTGATGATTATGTTGATAACTCACCTGCTGACTTTTTTCGAGAAGATCAAACTTTTCAGCAACGATCTTCATCAGAGCAACGGACACATCTTCAAGATTGTCATTTCAGTGGCCAAAGTTTCAGCAATAGACAACGTGCAACAATCTCACAGCAACCACAAAGCCATCATCACACTCCAGGTGATACACAACAATCAGTTCCTTCAAACAAATCAAATCAGTTTGTGAGAACATTACAAAGTTCGAATGAACCGAATGTCGTTTGTTTCAACGATGTTGCCCAGCCTGAATCACGCCCTGCTGTTCCCCACAAAAAAAGACAAATTTATCAATCGGAAAAGGAAGTGGATGAGGGTCTGAGAAGATCAAAAAGAAGAAAAGTCGCTGTCCTGGATGGATGGAGAGGAGAAAGAATCAAGTACAGATGGACCCCGGAAGGTTTTGAGAACGATGGCATCATATCCCCGAAAGGTCAGCAGAATGCAAAAATTGAAAGAACGACTAAAAAACGTCGAAGGATCAAAACCAGACAAATTGTCGCAGAGGAAGAGGAGGAGGAAAGAAAACATTTTGAAACGGAATCAGATTGCGCTGTTGATGATGAAGGAAACTCGCCCATTGTTGAAGTCTTTGATTTGCAGTTGGAGAATCACATCCCACTGGAATGCATCCTAAAGTATTACAAATCCGCGCTATTAAACATCCAAACGAAGGAACCTGCCAAAGAAAGCGACCCAATTGTGATGACGAAGGGCCTGACAACGAACCTTTTCTTTGCCGGTATAATGGAAATTAAAGGTTTAGAAGAGAAAATGCCACAAAAGATTTCAGCAAGTTTGTTGCTGTTCAATGTGTCGAGAGGAAAGTTGGAGGTCATTCTCAGTGGCCAGACTAGGTTCATAAAAACAGGCGACTCCTTCTACGTACCACCCGGTAATACTTATGGGTTGAGGAATCTTCGAAATTATACTGCCAAGCTTTTTTACGTGAACATCAAGAAATTTTCGTTTTGAATTATTCTGTCTTTTCACGTAATTTTTTCAAAATTATTCACCTACTGAATGTTTCCATATGTACCGCAAAAGAAAAAACATTGAATTGTTTCAGAAATTGTACTTTATTTTGTAGAATGTGAGAATGTTGCAAAAATTATATAGAAATTACGAACAAATGATTTATTGACAGTAAAACTGATTAACAATTATTCAAAAGTTAGATAATGAATAATTTTGATTGAATTGCAATAAAATGAAACATTCAATAACAGAGTATATGGTTGAAATGAGTTAAATTGATGAAATGAATGAATGAGTGAATGAATAAATTCATAAATTAAAAAACTATTATTAACATTATTATGATAATCAAAGCCGAATTGAAAGTCTTAGGTAACAACAAAAGGGCTGAGACCCATAATTATTTTCCATTTTCCGTCATGTCTGCCAAAAATTTGACGGCCACAAAATAAGAATGTTGTAATCAATAAAACTTTTTAAAATCGACCGACAGAGTCAACGAATGAATCAACGTTGTTTGGGTTTGTCCGTATAGAATAACAAACAATTAGGAGACACGAAACACTTTCTGAGCCATGTTCATCATTACAGTTTATTTTAAAATACTATTGTGAATGCGTTTTATAGTGCGGAGGTCAGTAACACTCCCTACTTCCAATCCATGAATCCAGTCCGGAGCGGATGCTAAGATGGTTTCGCTTTCGAGTTTCGACAAAGAATTATTTTCATCTAAAATGCAAGTTTGTTAGCAGCGGTAGCACTAACATTTTCAGCACCGGCAGCCAAATCGCCGTCGTCATACTTTTGTTGAGTTGTAGCGACTTTGCAGCGATGCGTCGCTGCACTCGAAGCTAAAATAAAGTTGCCACTTCTACTCGCTACTCCTGAATATTAAGTAATTTTTACTTCGAATCGTGCGAAATAACTTTAAACAAAAAAACTGTTTTGCTTTTATATCCGTTATTTTTGCTATTTCACAACTTTAAATGTTATCTCGTTAAAATTCTGTCGTCATCAAGATGAAAAATTTGTACACCCTTGAGATTAATAAAATTTGAAATAATGTGTTCTTCCAAGTGTTGACTGACTTTTGCGGAATATAAGTTTGTAATGACTTCATGGCACAACATTGTATGTTTTCATTTAACTATTAGCAAAATTAGAATACGGTCAAGAATTTAGTTTCTATTTAGACTGAAACAAACTGAAAGTCCCAGTTTCGATTTCAGTCAACGTAATATCATTTAACTTTAGCACTTTCTTCTTCTTACTCGTGCCTTATCCTTTCAGGACTTTGGCGACCCTCGACCTTCACAAAACCCGATCTTTAGCACTTTGTAGTAGTTAAAATGTGGTGATATTCAACAAGTGACACAAGGACTTCACCAATAGAATTTTTATTTTGATCTTTAGCACTTTGTAGTAGTTTAAAGGTGGTGATATTCAACAAGTGACACAAGGACTTCACGAATGGGATTCTTTTTTGACCGCGATCTTGCAATCTTTCCAGTAGTCGTTAGATCTTCCATTCTTTCCTTTCGCATGATGTGTAAAGCGATTCCATACAAAGTCTCTTCTAGATTACTATTTTTATTCTTATTATTATTCATTGCATTTATACAGCGTTTGCATTTATATTTATACAAAAATCGTCACAGGCGCTTCAATATATTAAATGCTATTAAGAGTTGAACAGATGGGTTCTCAGCTGTCTCTTAAACTGACTTAGAGAAAAATCACCATAGAGCAAAGTGTTTGGAAGACTATTCCACAGCCATGGTGCAACGAGAACAAAGCTTCGAGATCCAATCTTGAGGTTTGTCTTTGGCACGCACAAAAAATTTGATTTAACAGACATCAATTCGTATTTGGACAACGGCAGGATCGACTCACTGTCAAGGAGGGCCAGATGAGATATACTACTCTACTCCATACTCTACTCCATACTCAACTCCATACTCTACTCTAATCTACAGATACATGACCAACTGCAAAAGTACTGTCTCAACTAAATGAAAGATTGATGATGATGATAATAATAACAATAATAACAAAAGAGCCAAATTACTATAATAATTCATTTTACGATCGTTTATAATAATAATTACATAATCGGTAGTGTAAATTATAGTGTAGTGTAATAAATTTTTTTTACTATACTGATTGTAAATTAAATTATAATATTGTTGATGATGTGGTTGTTCACTTTGTTGTTGTTACTGCTGTTGTTGTTGATGATCAGCTTGTTGTTGGGGTTGTTGTTGACCTGATTAGTTGGTTTTGTTGTTGTTGAAGATACCCTTTGTTGACTTCATTTTTATCACTTAGGTTATTATTATTATTATTATTATTATCATCATCATCATCATCTTCATCATTGTTTTTAACCTTATGACGGTAGCAATAAAAAATAAGATCAGATAAATACGAATAAAAAAGAAATAATAATAAATTAATAATAACAATAATAATAATAAATATTATTTTTATTATACTAATAATTGTAAAATCGTAAAATATTATTTTTATTATACCTATTTTAAAATTTATTATCGTTATTATTTTCTCGTTACTGGGTATAAATACATCAAATTATCAAATGCAACTTAGAGTCCTGAAACTTTAAGAAATAATTTTCAATTTGAGTTATAATAATTATTACAATAATAATAATAATAATTATATTATAATAATAATATTAATTATATTATAATAATTATTATATTATTATTATCAAACATGGCGAATAGCACAGCAGAAGAAAAAGATTTTAATGGTACGAGTGATGATAAAACTAATAACAATAATAATAATCTAATTGATAAAAATGAAGTCAATAAAGGGTATGGTCAACAACAACCCCAACAACAAGCTGATCATCATCAACAACAAAAGCAACAGCAACAACAAAGGGAACAACCACAATTTCAAATGGAACGAAAACCACAAGTAGCAAGAAGTCCCAGCTTTCTAAAGATGAGAAGTTTTTTCACTGACAACATGACAAAGATGTGCTCATACGTTGCAAGGAAGACTGATGATGACAACAACAACAATAATAACAGAGATATCAACAACAACAACAACAGTTGCAACAACATTACCAACAATGTTGACAACAGCTACAATAAATACATTAAAAACCTGGTTATAGGCAACAGCAAGAACATCTCAAACAGCTGTAATAACATTAGCAGCAGTGTTGCCAGCAACAAAAACAACAACAAATACATTAACAACGTGGTTCTTAACAACTACAACAACATTTCCAAAAGTTGCAATGACATTAGCAACAATATTTTCAATGGCCTACATACATTGCTCAACAATAACAACAATAATAATAACAACAACAACAACAATAATAACAACAACAATAATAACAACAACAATAGTAACATTATGAACAACAATAAAACGAACAGCCATAGTAACAGTGTTATCAATGTGCTCTATACATGGGTCAACAACAACAACAACCAGAAGGATGATAATGATAATAACAACAATAATAACAACAACAATAATAATAACAATAATAATGATGATGATGATGGTGATGAGCAGCCAAAACAGAGCTGGTTGAATGAGATGGAGGAGGAGTGTACACTCCGACGAAGACAACAACGCATGGAATTCCGAATGCGACTTGTCCAGAAATTTTGCGACAAAAACCTGGAAAAAATTCACCACCAACAACAACTACTACAACAAAAGTTTTACCCCAAAAACCTGGAAAAAATTCACCACCAACAACAACAACTACTACAACAAAAGTTTTACCCCAAAAACCTGGAAAAAATTCACCAACAACAACTACTACAACATCAACTGCAATATCGACTGGAGTTAGAACAACAACAACTACACCATCTGCAAGAACGGATTGCATGTAGGCAAAAAGTTGAAAAATGGCTCAACTCTATTAAGGATTATACCAGCTGTTTGATTCCAAATGGCGAACGAATTCAAGATGGCCAGTATTCAGAATTCGAATATGAGGAAAATAATGATGATAACTTTAAAGATAGCAATGATTCTATTTTTGGTAGGGGTGTTTCTGAATGGGATGGTGGTGATGATGATGGTGGTGATGATGTTTTTAATGTCAAAGGCAAGAATATTGATGTTGTTTTTGGCCTCATAAAAGAGGATGAAATGATGACGACGAGGATGATGACGACGATGATAACTGTGACAAA